CAACCTTTTGACCCTCGTACGATCCGGCCTTCTTCAGATGATTGAAATTTCGAACCGAACCCTTTATTTCGTCCACCTGGGATAGATTGTTCTAGTTCCACGCACCATGCCTCTTCCGGATGTCTCAGTTATTTCCCTTTAACTCAACTCTCCAAGTTTTGATTCACCACTGCTGTGGATTGGTGTCTTTGGATCTAGTCACTGGATCTAATCAACGTTTTTATCCACTGGGCTATATGTCCGAAACGTTGTGAATATGGTATTGAAGATGAGGATAACAGTCTGAATAATGTAAATAATGCAAGTAATCATAATACCTCATCTCAGAGATATAGAGGCCGAAACGTTTTGAATACGGTAATAAAGATGAATAACAGTCTGAATAAATAAATAATGCAATAATCAATACCTCATCTCAGAGATATAGAGGCCGAAACGTTTTGAATACGGTAATAAAGATGAGGATAACAGTCTGAATAATGTAAATAATGCAAGTAATCATAATACCTCATCTCAGAACGAAACGTTTTGAATACGGTAATAAAGATGAGGATAACAGTCTGAATAATGTAAATAATGCAAGTAATCATAATACCTCATCTCAGAGATATAGAGGCCGAAACGTTTTGAATACGGTAATAAAGATGAGGATAACAGTCTGAATAATGTAAATAATGCAAGTAATCGTAATACTTCATCTCAGTGATATAGACAAGTAACTTTCTTATGTTCTATGAATATGTATTGTGGCTATTTTTTATATGAAAATGTATTGTGGCTATTTTTACGATAAAAATCTATTTTTATACATTGATAGTGTTTTGTGGGTTCACTATTTGCCCAAGGCTAGAACCGTAGCAGGTGTTAACATCCGGGTCACGATGGTCCTAGAAATAAAATCAAATTAGAGGTGCTATCATGCTTCTCAAAACCTTCAATCTTCCGATCAGACGCCTTGCTGCCGGATGCAGCTTATCGTCATACCCAGGGACTTAACCTCAACCGAAACCTTAATTCGTACATCATCTATCGCTAAAGATGCTGTAAAATGTTTAGCACCTTGTACGACTGGCACCAAGTACCTAACTCTTCCTGTTATCCTCTGCCTTTATATGACCGAAATGGTGTCCTGTAGCCATATATGCGAAGAAAATTAAGACTGGCTGCCCAGTACTCACTTTCCACTACTAGTAGAATACAAAAGCGTCTTTGCGTCCTAGTGTGTGATGAATTCTTTACACCCATCAAATTCTTTCCCACAGAGGAAACGTTGCAAGCTTTACCCTGCACTATCGCTATTTCCATGGAAAGTGTAGGGACTATATTCTTTAATTGCACCAGTTCTAACTTTCACGTGTAAAACCCATCATGCCACGCACATTGAAGCGAATCACCCTCATTCCCATTGTAGTCCATTGGTGAGATGTAAGTTCCACTCGAGCAGCTTCTTTCCACCGCTGCTTTGTCAATAACATCATTACAGATATAATAATTTAAATATACGACAGTGGCGAAATACCAGAAGATCTTAGTAGACGTTATTTTGGAAATTTAGTTATAGAAAAGGTTGTTAAGGATACCATTGACTGAATATATGAGCAACGACAAAGTTTTTGAGAAAATAGAAACAAAAAGGAAACTTATACTTAACACAGGAAGAGACAGTTGAAATTTCTACAGAAGGATGCTGAGGATACCATGAACCGAATATGTGAGCAACGACGAGGTTTTAGAGAAAATGGAAACAAGAATGAAACTTATCCTTAACATCAGGAAGAGACAGTTGAAATTTCTACAGAAGGATGCTGAGGATACCGTGGACCGAATATGTGAGCAGCGACGAGGTTTTAAAGAAAATGGAAACAAAAAGAAACTTATACTTAACATCAGGAACAGACAGTTGAAATTTCTACAGAAGGATGCTGAGGATACCATGGACCGAACATGTGAGCAAAGACGAGGTTTCAGAGAAAATAGAAATAAGAAGGAAACTTATACTTAACATCAGGCAGAGACAGTTGAAATTTCTACAGAAGGATGATGAGGACACCAAGGACAGAACATTCGAACAACGACGAAGTTTCAGAGAAAATGGAAATAAAAAGGAAATTTATACTTAACATCAGGAGGATACAGTTTGAAATTTATAGGGCACATAATGAGAAAAGAGCGTTTGGAAAATTTGATTCGCGCATGACAGATTGAAGTTAAGAGGGCCAGCGGAAAGCAAAACATAACATGTTTAGTGAATTTGAATAAATGGATGACAGAAGATTAGGAATAAATAGCAAAAAGACAAAATTAGGGAGGGTCATGATCGCCTGCGTCCTGAAGGTCAAGATACATGGAAGAAGAATGAGACTATATAAATGGACGACAGAACAGGGTTTAGGAGAGATAGCAAAAAGACAAAATTTACTAAGAGCTACAAAGGACAAGAAATTGTGAAGAGCCAACGTCTTGAAGCGTCACGATACACAGAACATTGAGCCTGTATAAA